GTCGGGCGTCCCGCCCCCTGCCTGACAGCCCAGAGCCGCCCAGAGGCTCTGGCCCCGCTGGCTGCTGGCCCTTGCCCCCTCCCTGCCCTTACCTCCCTTACCCCCCACCTCCCCATCCCCAGAGCTCCGGAGAGCCAGTGGGAAGACACGGCCACAATCTGCCTGAGAGTCAGCCAGCAGGCATGGCTCAGGGCGGGGCATGGGTGGGAACAGGGGAGGTAGTTTGGATAGGCAGTGTCTCCCAGGCTCTGGCCCCGCTGGCTGCTGGCCCTTGCCCCCTCCCTGCCCTTACCTCCCTTACCCCCCACCTCCCCATCCCCAGAGCTCCGGAGAGCCAGTGGGAAGACACGGCCACAATCTGCCTGAGAGTCAGCCAGCAGGCATGGCTCAGGGCGGGGCATGGGTGGGAACAGGGGAGGTAGTTTGGATAGGCAGTGTCTCCCCTTGCCTCGGATACCCGCCGCCCCTAACATCGGCACCTCTTTTCCTCTAGCTCCCCACACCCGGCAGTGGCACCCGGCCAGGGGTCTCTGAGAGAGGGTCCTAGGGGGGTGGCTCTGGGTTGGCCCCGTCCGTGACGGCCACTGAATTGGACCGTTGCCTTACTGATCACGTCCGTCTTGCACGCTGTCGTGCCATTGGCACACTCCACCGACGTCTGGCAATTGGAGTTGCTGAGCTGCGTCTTGCACGTGTAGCATTTCAGTGAGCCACCTGCAGGAGGGGGAGAAGTGTGAGCAGGAGAGCCGGGCACACTCACAAGCAGACTGGGTGAGTCCAGCGGAAAGCCAGGCTTAAAAGCACCCGCCTCCCGCTGCCGCCCCTTCTCCGTCTTTCCCGCCGGTCACACCTCAGAGACTCGCATGTCAGAACGGGGCAGGAAACGGACAATTTTTGACAGGATTGGTCCCTCAAGTTAGTGTCAAGAAGAAGGACTGTCGGGTTTACGAATGGTGATTTTTGTTAGTGGTAAAGGAAAGCAGGGCTGCTAACAGGGATGGATGGCGGAAGGCCCCAAAGGTAAGGACCAAGCCGACATTCACATGACAGGACTGTGACTTTTGATACCTGCTCCCTGAAGAGGCTGTCTGTAACCCACACACCTGCTGGGTGTGGTGCTCTGTCCAAGGTAGGCGACTTCTAGAGAGAGAGGAGTTTGCTCAACAGCCATAGCTGAGCGCCAGCTGGCTTTCAGCTCAGGCTGTAGCGACTTCTGCACTGAGATCCCAGGTCTGGTTCTGCCTGTTGGTGTTACACCTGCCCACACCTGTCACCTCCCCGTGGAAGTGAATCCTAGTGGGTAGAACGGTGCTGGGTGAATTTGCAGAGTTTGGGCATGTGTGAGGGCCCGAGGGGAACATGATGCAACACTGTGTAGTTGCACAGCACCGTACAATGGCGTAACGATGCAAAGATCAGCAATCACGATTCAGAGTTTGTTTCCCAGGAACCTCCCAGTCCAGGGGAGAAGGGGATGAATTTAACCCATTCATTGCCAGGCCTACATGGCACCTGCTGCTCTGCCAACTGTGCTGCGGAGCTAGGTGCTTTCAACAGGTGAGTTCCACCTGGAGCGCATGGCCGGTGCATCGTCTGTTGGGTGTGTTGTTGCCCGCACACCTGCTGGGTGCGGTTCGCTGCCCCGCGCTCTGGCGCTGAGCCCACGTACAGAGAGAGAAAAGAATGAGTTTGACCTGAGGACTTTCAATTAATGTGCCTGCTTTACTCTCTGCGGGGAGCTAGATGGATGGAGATTTCTCTTGGGGATGGCCCTAGATCGAATGGCAGCCCCTTCTGTTTGTCAAACTTTTCAGAACTTCCTTTGGGTATGTCTACACTAGCCCCCTACTTCGAACTAGAGGGCTAGTGTAGACATACCCTTTTTTATTGCCTTTGTAGCCCATTTCACGGATTGAGGGGTGACATCCCACCCTGTAGAGGGCGTGGGAACAACATTCTCGGAGGTTCAAGGACAATCTAGCTCTCTGACAGCTAGGAGGTCAGTGAACAATGACCCCACATAGGGGAGGCCTGAAACCTTTTCCTCCGGCGCTTCTCCGGCCCCCCTCTCGCACAGTGTCCAAGCACCTTGGGATCTTTAGTGCACTGACCGGGACAACCCCCCTTTATCTCTCTTTTTCAACTCTAGCTCCCTGACCACTAGGCCATCCTACCTGTCCACGTGTGGAATTTCCGGGAAGTTCCATTCTGCAGCTTCCCCTCCCAACCTTGGCTTTGATCCACCAGCACAATCAGAGTGGAGGGGAATCACAGGGCCACACATTTCTTCCTGCTCCCAGGAGGGACTGGCTAGCCGGCACACACCCCGAATGCCAGGGGAGATGCATTGATTCGCCTATATCCTATGTAGCCTCCCCTGGAGGGAGGAAGGTTCCCATACTCCCTTGGGTGCAACTGTCCGCGTGGGATCTGAGCTGGGAATTCAACCCCCAGCCTGTGCCAAATGGGTTTCTCTAGCCTCACCCCTCGCAATGGATTTTCTGTATGGGGTGGAGGGGAGGGGGAGGAGGGATTATACTCGGCACTAAGGAGACAACCTGCAGGATACAATGAATCCAGAAAGCCCATCTAATCTCCTGCCGACTTTGCAACGATCCCCTTGGTTCACAGGCTCGGCTCAGTGGGAGCTGAGCTCACAGCTTTAAGGCAACCCCTCCCCTCCCCCCCCCGCTGAGGCTCTGCAAATGAAGCGTGGATTAGCATATTGCCATGCTTCATTTGCATAATTAATTCGGGGCCGTTTTTGCGCAAGAGGCTTTTGCGCAAAAAGGAGCTGTGTCGCTCGCGCCTTTTTGTGCAAACCCCCCCTTGCACAAGAGCCATTCTCTCTGAAAACATGAGAAAGAACGGCTCTTGCACAAGAGGGGTTTTTTTGCGCAAAAAGGAACAATCTACACAGCTCCTTTTTGCACAAAAGCCTCTTGCGCAAAAACGGGCCCTAATTAATTATGCAAATGAAGTACGGCAATATGCTAATTCATGCTTCATTAGCATAAGCTTTTGTAGAAGAAGGGCGCAGTATAGACGTAGCCTGAGAAACCAGGGTAATATGTGTGTGCATAACCACCGCTAGGCAGATTTGAACCTGAGACCTTAGTGTAGAAGTCTCTACAGCTTGAACTATAAAGCCAGCTGGCTCCCGGTTTAGGCTGTAGAGCTCCCTTGTTCTTATCTCTCACTGTAAGTGGTCTAAGTTCCACTCCATGGGCCAGTGACCCATACTAGGGGTGTGGGTTACATACATGTGCATAGATAGTTTGCTAGTTTCTAGAAATGAGCACTCATTTTACATCCCACGCACATTAACTCCCATCAAGAAATCAGAAAACCATCCTTAGCCTCATCTGGACAGGTCAGCTGCCCATAAAAACATAAGAACGGCCAGACTGGGTCAGACCAAAGGTCCATCTAGCCCAGTATCCTGTCTGCCGACAGTGGCCAATGCCCCAGAGGGAACAAACAGAACAGGTGATCATCAAGCGCTCCACCAGCAAGTGGTCCAGGAGAAAGCCAATCCACTATTTCTGGAGCTGGAGCCAGGGGCTTCATTATTTCTTTGCTGCAAACAAACTGTGAGCATCTCTCCAGACAGCCCCATAGCACCTTATCTTGGTGGTAAGGATATGGGCTGGGGTACAGAGGAACCTCCCGGATGTCTTACCTGGCTGTGTGCACAGGATGGCAGCCAGCAGGGTGATCAGAAAAGCCTTCATCTTCGGAGGATGAGTCCAGCCCATCGAATACGGGACACCTCCTCCCGGGGTGTTTTATAGCCTGGTTCAGTTATCTCATCAACCGCAAGGGGCTGGGAGGTTTCACTGGCAAACCGCTGGTTCTCTGAGTCATAGCCCTGATATTTGTGTGCCTCCCCTGCTGGCCTGTCCCCATCATGCCGTATGCTCAGATGCGCCTCTTCTCACTCTCATTTCCTCATTATCCTGCGTGTTTGGGCGAGTGGGTCACACCTTCGCAGAGAAAAGCAAAGCACCTGAAAAAAAGGATGGCCTTCGGGTGACCCTACCTAAGCAGGGGAGGTATTTACTGCTCAGTTCTGACTAATCTTCCCTTGAGCGCTACACCCATCAAGGGCCGGGATTTGAGGCAAGGAGTTCCACAGGTTGACTGCACGCTGGATGAATAAAATCCTCCTTTTGTTTGTTTTAAACCTGCTGCTTGTCAATTTCATCTGGCGACCCCTAGTTCTTAGGTTATGGGAGCATGTAAATAACTTTTCCTCATTCACTTTCTCCACACCAGTCATGATTTTATAGACCTCTATCACATCCCCCCTTAGTCTCCTCTTTTCTAAGCTGAAAAGTCCCCGTCTTTTTAATCTCTCTTCATTTGGTAGCCGTTCCAAACCCCTAAACATGTTTGTTGCCCTTCTCTGAACCTTTTCCGATGCCAAGATTTCTTTTGGGAGATGCGGAGACCACATCTGTAGGCAGTATTCAAGATGTGGCTGTACCAGGGAGTTATGCAGAGGCGGTAAGATTATCTCTGTTTTATTCTCTATCCTTTTTTAATTATTCCCAACATTCTGTCTGCTTTTTTGACGGCTGCTGCCCACCGAGTGGATGTTTTCAGAGGACTGTCCACAATGACTCCAAGAGCGGACACTGTGGTCTGAGCCGGACAATGACACCGCGTTCCGAGCTGGACAATGACACCGCGTTCCGAGCCGGACAATGACACCGCGTTCTGAGCCTGACAATGACACCACGTTCCGAGCCGGACAATGACACCGCGTTCCGAGCCAGACAATGACACCGTGGGCTGAGCCGGACAATGACACTGCAGTCCGAGCCAGACAATGACACCGTGGGCTGAGCCGGACAATGACACTGCAGTCCGAGCCAGACAATGACACCGTGGGCTGAGCCGGACAATGACACTGCAGTCCGAGCCAGACAATGACACCGTGGGCTGAGCCGGACAATGACACTGCAGTCCGAGCCAGACAATGACACCGTGGGCTGAGCCGGACAATGACACTGCAGTCCGAGCCAGACAATGACACCGTGGGCTGAGCCGGACAATGACACTGCAGTCCGAGCCAGACAATGACACCGTGGGCTGAGCCGGACAATGACACTGCAGTCCGAGCCAGACAATGACACCGTGGGCTGAGCCGGACAATGACACTGCAGTCCGAGCCAGACAATGACACCGTGGGCTGAGCCGGACAATGACACTGCAGTCCGAGCCAGACAATGACACCGTGGGCTGAGCCGGACAATGACACCGCATTCCGAGCTGGAACTCCAGAGACAGCTGGGTTCAGTCCATGCGGCTAACCTTTGGCAAACTGTGATTTCTTCCCTGTGCTCCGCACCTGCAGGGGTGCTCCGATGGGGAAGGGCTCTGATGTCACGAGGAGAGTCCCATGGATGCCTACAGAACAATAGATGTTTCTCTTGTTTGTTTGAATCCTCCGGTGCTCGTTGAGACTTGATGGCTGAGTGACACCTGGAGCAGAACCAGGCTTTCTCCCTGAGCGCGTCCTGCGATGGGAACCCCACCCAGAAGGTAGATGCCATTCTCAGGTTGGATTCACATCAGGCCCTTGGGCAACTCACAAATGCTAAGAAACACTTTTCCCATTGTAGAGGAAGGTTAGTTCTTTCTGCAGGTTGCATGCTGATTTTAGTGAGTTGATCAGACAAGGCATTCCATTCCGTGCACCATTGGCAGGTTGTTGTTTTTTTTAAAGAGGTCAGTGTGAAAAGAAAACGACTGGTTTCCAAAGTCAATTGCCTGCAGGTTCCTGCTTTCTTTTGAGCTAATCTCTCCATCTTCAAAACACAGCTCTCTTACAAAGCCTAGCCTTTGGGCTGGGGTCTGCTTTTCCTTTTGGGTTGTTTTTTCTAACGAACAAAAAGGTGTTGGCGCTCATGCAGCATGTAGAGCGTGCACAGTCGCTTCTGGATGGACAGGGCCACGTTCAGCTGGTGCAAAGCCAATGAAGTCAAAGGGAAAACAGTCCCACATGCTGTACGCCAGTGAGCTGGAGGAGGGCACATGCCGTGCCAAAAGCGGCTTCCGACAGTGGTGTTTCCGTGTGTGTGGACGGATGCATTGTTCATCTTGTGTGTAAGACGTGAGCTTGGAGGTTGGGGCCCCAGTGCCCAGCTGATGGGGAGAAGGGGGCACCCCCAGCCAGGTGTCAATGTCCCAACAAGGCATCTTAGGATGGTCCTATGGAGAGACCAAACCAGACTTCCCAGAATTCAGTGGGAGATGGGCATCCCTGCCAGATGCATCCCAGCCGGTCCAGTAAACCAGACCTATCCTGTATGTGTCGCCGATGGTACCATTGGTGAAAATTTGGTAGGGACTTTATCTAGGACATGAAGAACGTACCATCAGTTCCCTGTTCTGCCCCCAGACTTTCTGTGTGTGGCATTGGGTAAATCACTCAGCCTCTCCCTGTGCCTCAGTTTCCCATGTGTGCCCCACTGCAAGTAACATCCTACCGCAAACAGAGGTTTTGCCCTGAAAAGGGAGCCATGCCAGAGATTCTAGAGGCTTCGCCCTTGCCGTTGATTTTACATGGAAGGCACTCAGATACACCAGTGATAGGTGGCAGGGTAAAGCGGAAAGCTAGAAACATAGGCAGATCAAATTTCCCTAATTTGAGGGGGACGACTGAGGTCCCCAGAAACCAAGGAGTTGGGCTCTATAGAAAGCATCTCAAAACAATGACTCTCCTATGTCCTTGCCCCGGTTTCATCCCAGATTCCAACCCCAATATTCCAAAAAGTCCCCAAGAGTAAGGGCTAGTTATTCTGAATAATGGAATCTCGATTGGGAGCAATAGAGCATAAGGGGCAGGAACTGGCCATGTGAGTCCTATGGAGAGCCCCACTGCGAGCCACCTCTCCCCCAAGCCGAACAGAGGCAAGAAACGCCTTCCCCCATGCCTTAGAGGGGTAGAACCACCTACTCCTACCCCGCAGAAGGTAGAGCCACCCCCCTCCATGCCCTGCAGATGGTAGAACCATCTCCCCCCATACGCTACAGTGGGTAGAACCATCTCCCCCCATATCCTGCAGATGGTAGAACCATCTCCCCCCATATGCTACAGTGGGTAGAACCATCTCCCCCCATATCCTGCAGATGGTAGAACCATCTCCCCCCATATGCTACAGTGGGTAGAACCATCTCCCCCCATATCCTGCAGATGGTAGAACCATCTCCCCCCATACGCTACAGTGGGTAGAACCATCTCCCCCCATATCCTGCAGATGGTAGAACCATCTCCCCCCATATGCTACAGTGGGTAGAACCATCTCCCCCCATATCCTGCAGATGGTAGAACCGTCTCCCTCCATACTCTACAGTGGGTAGAACCATCTCCCCCCATATCCTGCAGATGGTAGAACCGTCTCCCTCCATACTCTACAGGCTACGTCTAGACTGGCATGATTTTCCGCAAATGCTTTTAACGGAAAAGTTTTTCCGTTAAAAGCATTTGCGGAAAAGAGCGTCTAGATTGGCACGGACGCTTTTCCGCAAAAGCACTTTTGGCGGAAAAGTGTCCGTGCGAATCTAGATGTGGTTTTGCGCAAGAAAGCCCCGATCACCATTTTCGCCATCGGATCTTTTTTGCGCAAAACAGTTTTTAGCTGTCTGCACTGGCCCTCTTGCGCAAAAACATTTCCGGAAAAGGGCTTTTGCCCGAACAGGAACGTCAAAGCATTTGCGCAAGAAGCACTGATTTCGGACAGTAGAACGTCAGTGCTTTTGCGCAAAATCAAGCTGCCAGTGTAGACAGCTGGCAAGTTTTTGCGCCAAAGCAGCCGCTTTTGCAGAAAAACTTGCCAGTCTAGACGCAGCCTACAGTGTGTAGAACCATCTCCCCTATACTCCACAGGTGGTAGAACTACCTGCCCCATAGCCTATAGGGGGCAGAACCACCTCCAGAGACTTTGGGATAGTTTGTAACTCTCGTCCAGTGCCCCAATGCTCGGAGTCACCCCCCTTCCATTTCTGCCAGGTGGGGGGAGGGCCAGGAGGCAGGCAGGGGTCTGCAATCGGTCCAATGAACATATTGTTATGCCACGAGCCAATGGTGGGCAGATCCCATTGCAAGGTTAGAACCCAAGCAAGACTGGGATGTGAGGAGTTTGGGGCCAGGTCGCCGGCTGGCAGCAATTGGCCGCTCCCCACTGCCTTGGACAGAGCTGCTGTGATATATGCCATCTGTCTCTGTCTCTCCATGTTCAGTCACATCTCTACACATGTACATAAGAACATACAAACAGCCACACTGGGTCAGACAAAAGGTTCATCAGGCCCAGGATCCTGTCTGCCAACAATGGCCAATGCTCCAGAGGGAGTGAACAGAACAGGGAATCAACTGATCCATCCTCCGCCGTCCATTCCCAGCTTCTCACAAAGTTTAGGGACACCATTCTTACCCATCCTGGCTAATAGCCATTGAGGACCCATCCTCCATGAAATTATCTACCTCTTTTTGGAACTCTGTTAAAGTCCTGGTCTTCACCACATCCACCGGCAAGGAGTCCCACAGATTGACTGCTTGAAAAATACTCTCCTTTGCTTGTTTAAAACCTGCTGCCTATTCATTACATTTTGGTGATCCACTAGTCTGGTGCTGTATGGAATTCTTCTTCTTCTTCTCATTATCTTGCAATGAATCATGACAGTTGTGCTATGTATGGTATCTAAAAAAATGTAAAAACTTCATTTACAAGTTTGATTCCTATCAGAAAGGAATGAATAACGATATCGGCTGTCTTGAACGTTACCTTCCTCATCCTATTGACTTAACCAACCAACCTAACAATGGGTACTTATAGGGGTGCTAATTGTTCTTATCGGCCTCTTGTAACTTGAACAGTCTAATTCAGTACTTTTTTCTTTTTTTTTCTCTCCCCCCCTCCTTTTTTCCCACCCGCCTTCCCTTTTTTATTCTTGGATCTAGACTTTTAATACTCCAGTCATCTGAAGAAGTGGGTTGTACCCACAAAAGCTCATGA